ATGTATATTCCCTGTATCCTCTATTGCTGACTCGAACAAAAAACTTTTTATTTTTTCCTTTGCTTCTGCTCTTTTTTCTTCTCTATTTTTTTTATTCTTGCGAGATGTAAAATAACCACCAATAGCACGATATAAGCTACTATATTTTCTTTTAAAAAATCTACTAAGGCTTAATTCAACTACTGTCATTGCTTTTAATGTAAAATTTGTTGCTAAAGCAAAGATTAAATCAATGCATGAATTTTTTTCATAGGGAAAAAAGATTTTCAATATTATTGAAATATTTTTTTAGCTCTTCAATATTTTTGACTTTTTTCATTAAATTATTTTTATTCTTCAGTTATAGTTGCAAATTTATCACAATTTGTCAAAAGTCCAGTTAAATGTTATAAGCCTAGCATCTAATTTTTCTAAATAATTAAAAAATCCTTTTACTAATTCAGATTCTTTATCCTCTATATTCCCACCAGATTTTATATTCATAATTTCATATTCTTCCTTCCCATCAACATTTACATGAACTATTGCATCTAAATAACTTATTGCTACCACCTTATGAAATGGTGGCTTTACAAAATCACTCCCTGAAATACTATTATCTATGTGATACTGTTTTATTTTTGCTATTACTTCTTCATTTGTTGTTTTTTTACTAAGCCCAAGAAAGCTTCTCGATGATTCAACATCTATTACTGTTTCTATATCAAATACAAATATTCTGTCTTTTATATAACTCATAACCTTATTTTATTATTGGAATTAAAGAAGATAAATTCTCCTCTTGAAATATACCCTTAGATAAACCTATAGAGTTTTCTAATTTCTCTAAAAATGAAATTTTTCTTTCATATTTCACAAAATATACTTGTTTATTATCTTGGTACAAGGAAGTTAAATAATCAGCACTAGTCATTATTTCATCAACTAATTTTAATTCCTTTGCTTTAGATCCTAACCAAAATTCTCCTGTGGATATTTTTTCTATATCTATACTCGGTCTCTTTAATTTAATTAAGTTTTTAAATTCAGAATGTATTTGATCTAATTCTTCTTGTACTTTTTTACGTCCTTCTTCAGTATTTTTACCGAGCACACTCATTGCTCTTTTATACTT